TAATCAATGTATCTTCCAGTGTATGTGGGATGATTCTATCTGCTCGATCTTGTCAATGAGAGGTAACCTGTTTGTGTTGGTTATGTCTCTTCTGAGTGTTTTGTCAGTAGCTTTGTTGCATTGGAAACCATGCAATCATGCGGTCAGAACCTCTCAACATCTTCCTGAATTTACCTCTTTGGGATATCGGAGCTTCCAGCTGCCCCTGGTTGCGACATGTTGGTCTAAGCTATTTTTCCCTATGTTTGGCTCGTCTATGCCGCAGCTGTGGTGCATGTGGTATGTTCCTAGTAGACAAGCGAACTACTTGCAGGCTGCCGGTTGAACTTGAGTCAGATTGAGTGACTGCTTCTCTCCGTCTGTCGCATTGCCTACTCTGATGTGAGGTGGATGATGCTTATTGCGGGCTTAGCTGCGAATAAACACTTCTCCTAGAAGGTTGCTCATGTTGATTATCAGAGTGGTGGCTCTAATTGTGAATGTGTGCTCATTCGTGGGCCTAACCGAGAGTGCACACTCCTCTACGCGCTCAGACGAAAGTATACGCTATCTTGAGGACCTAGTCGAGAGTGTACACTACTAAAACGGTCGGTTCGTGACTGGTCGAGTGGCTACTTACCAGGACGCTGTTGGAGAGGTTTATCGTCTGCCTTTATCCTATTTCGGGACACCTCGTCTTAAGTATGTTGCATCTCGATGCTCAGTAAGAGCTGATTCACCAAGGTAGTTTTCAGCGCGAGGGTATTTGTCAACTCTATGACTTATCGAGACAAGTGTTGTTTGCCATTTGGGGTGGAAGAGCTTGGACAGTATACATCTCCTTATGTAGTTGAAGTGTATTGGACTACGAGCGTGAGATTCAAGTTGGGATGTTAAGAAGAAATGGGGTGAAAATACCTTCGGTTCAATTGTCGGTCTAAAAATATGAAGCTAGGACGGTTGAACCAGTCTTGGACCGGTTGGGATTGCTCGGTGGGTCATGAGAGTGGGTTGTGCCTCAGATTGGACCATGGGAGTGGGTCGGATCGTCGGAGTAAGTTGGGTCGCTAGCATGGATTACCCCGCATGGGGTGCGCATGGGCGTTGGGCTGCTTCTCCTACGGCAACTGCTTGGGCTTGTGCTGCTGAGGTAGTGGCTCGGGCAGGCCCACGCCGGGCCTCGCTCGGCTACCTTGTAGCGTGGCATGCAAATTGGGCCATGCACCAAGTGGATGAGGCTTGGGCCTGTGTTGCTGGAGTAGTTGCTCAGGCTTACAACGTGGGCTGCAGATTGGGCCGGGCTCCAAGTGGACGATACTTGGGCCTGTGCTACTGGGGTAATGGCTTGGGGCGGCTCACACTGGGCATGGCTCGACTGCCTTGTAGCGTGGGCTAAGGATTAGGCTATGTGATAAGTGGACGAGGCTTGGGGCAACGACTGAGGCTGCTTCTAGTGATTGGGCTTGCTACTACAAAGTGGTATAGGCCTGGGCTAGTGGTTTCCTTGCTGCCCTCTGCTCACCATGAGCTTGTTGCCATGGAGTTGGCCCACTCCCCACTACCACGGTGGTCCCCTTGACTGCCATGGTGGTGGTGCTCCTTTTGCCATCGTATTGAGCCTTGTGGATCGTCATGGTAGGGCTACGTGTCATTCTTCATCATTTGATCCAGATCTTTAAACGTAGAAAGTTTTGTTCCTAGTGGTTTCTGAATTTCTCGTCATTGTATTTTTCCATTACCTCCATTCGAAGAATCAAAAAGTTTTAGGAGTAAGAAAGTATGAAAAATTTACGAATGAACAAGAAATAAGAAAATTTGAATGCGAGAGTCTTCTTCGAGCGTGTGAATCAAACTCTCAATGAAAGCACCAATTTGTGGATGCAAATTTCCGCTATCTTATTCTTTGACGAAAATGCACCTGCAAAATAATAACACCTAAGATTAAGGCCAAAAGCCTCACGCGCCCATGACAAATGGGGGGCTTTGGTTGAAGAATCTCCGATGCCAAAGTTAGAATTTGAGAGAGAAAGTGTTTAGGAATTTTTTGGGGAGATAATGAAATTAGCATTTTAGTGGGAAAACATGACTATTTATAGGGGAGTGACCGACCCTATTTAGAGAATAGGGGCCGATCATATATGGTCAAATTGTGAGTGTAATTGGAAGATATTATGTGAAATAATATCTTGCAATTAACTTGGCAATTAATCCCAAATTGATTAGGAAAATTGGGAGTTACTGTGGATGCAAATTTCTTCCTCCTTGCTGTTGGACAAAATTGCACCTACAAAACAAATAACACCTTAGGTCAAGGCGAAGAGCCTCACGCACCCATGATGAATGTTTTGGGGAGGGGGGTAGGCCTTTGACCGAAGAACCTCCGATGCTAAAGTTTGGAGAATTTAGAGAGTTTAGCAAGAGAATTGGAATTGAGTTTTGGAGAGAATGAGAGGGCTTATATAGGGATGTGGCCAGCCACCTTGGGAGGAGATGGACTGGCCACTTGGATGGTTTTGTGGGTTAGGTTCTTGATTTGTGGTTAATTAGCTAATAAATGGAATAATTATTTAATTAATTAGCTAATTATAATAATAAAAGAGGAAGGATTTGGGGGTTACCTTGTGGAGAAGATATGATGAGGATGGATGAAATAGGTTGTAAATAATTACCTATTTGGGCACTCTTCACTTGATTGAGGGATGATTGTCCACTGCTCACGTGTAGGAGCTCCGGTGTGCCTCGAGGGTAATTTTATCCTTTTCTACCCAAAAATCCACGTGTCGCCCCTTTATTATTTTTGGCTCCACATTTACCTTTTGAGTGAGGATTTGATGAGGAGTGATGAGAGGGTTTTGAATAAATACCATTTTGATTGCCTTTGACTCTTCCTTGATTGAGTCGTTATTGTTTGTTGCATGCGTGTGAGAATCCCGGCGTGCCTCGAGGGTAATTTTTTCATTTTAACCCAAAAGTACACATGTTGCCTCCATAATTTTCTTGATTATTTTTGGCTCCACAACGAGCCTCAGCATGAATATGTAGTTTCTTTTTAATTTACTTATGATGTTATGCATGCATACTTTGAATTATTTATCATTGAGTTTAAACTATCTATATATCCGCTTGATCACCATTAGGGTGTTTAGAAAAGTAGTCAGATGTAATTTTTGTTGGATTTACCCTAAAATTGATTAATGCTTCTTGTGATTGATAATTGTAAGTTCACTTAAGGTGAATGCCACACTCTCAAGGGTTGTAAGGTTTTTCAAAAAGTTTTCATAAAACTTAATAAGTCTTGCATGTTTAGATTTGATCTGAATGCCACAAATGGATTACATGTTTAATATATGTACTAGTTTGAATGCCTCAAGTAGAATATGCATTAGAAAAGCCTAACCTTCAAAGTTTGTGCGTGTTAACCCATAAGTAATTATTAGAATTATGTAAGATTGTTAATGGTTACGGCTAAAATCTAGTGCCTTTTACCTTTGATTTTCTAAGCTGTGTGTTATTTTTACTTTGTGTGATTTCTATATTGCCGATTTACTTTATTTTAATTTATTGCATTATTTACTTTAATACATGATTTCAAATCTTTTATAAATTTTGTGTTGAATAGTTAATTAAGAATTGGTTTTAAATACAAGTTATTCATATCAATCTTTGTGGAGAACAAGCTTGCTTGAGCTATCTTTACTACAATTACCTTATTCTTTTGCAAGTATTTCAACGTGATTTAACACTATTTTTGCAGGTGGTAAAAATCCTATCAATGCGTGTCTCATACCATACTTTTATCACTTGACTCAATATAATATAGAATATGATTTAACTCCCATACGCCTCTTAACCCCAATTTAATTAACAAACCCTAGCTTGCTACTATAGATTATGCGATTAAATTTAGAGGCTTTGTTTTCATATCTTAAGGAATGGATCATGATGAACAACAAAAAATAAGCCTTGCTCTCTCCTAATTGGCGTCCCTTTATTGGACAGCCAGCTGGCTAGGAGGGTAAGTAGAGCATCACCAAGAAGACTCATGAATGTGGTGCAGTTTGGTGCATGCAAATATATGACATGTATGGTTGAATGTGAAAGGACACAGCTAAAAAATATATACAAACAAAAGGGGGTGATTGTTTAACTTCCTCTCAAGTTCTTTTTCTCACCCGACAAATCATGGTGGAGGACCCTAATTATCTTCAAAAAAATCAAACACCATTTCACATTTCTCCTTTTCTTTTTTTACCTAGTCAAGTCTACCTCACAAGAAACCAAATTTCAACCTCTTTTAGCGCCATTCTCTCTCCATCTCTTTTTTGTGTGTCTTCTTTATAAAAAAAGTCTTTGCCAAATCTCCCTTTCACACATACACATACGGTTATGTTTTTGCTTTTTGGGTTTTGATTAACTTTCATAACTAAACAATGAAAATGCACAAGGTAAGGTTAAAGTTTTTCTATCCATCTCAATAAATCAACACCCAATCATTATATAATTGATGTTATAACCTCGATGGTTGATTAGGTATTGGCACCCCAAATTGGACTCACACTGTATGCCCACCTTGCCATTTGAAAAATTGGAAATAATTAAAAAAAAAAAAAAACCTATTTTATGTTAAAGCATATTGGTCATGATTGAACGGAACAATTATCACAGCTACGTGCATCTTCTGTAGTTATGCTGCCAACAAAAGAATAGAAAAGTGATGAAACTACATGCGTCTCCCCCTGTATTTTAAACAAAAAAAAATTGCAGTTTCTGTTCTCTATATTGATTAAAGCAAGCCATTAAGGATTATCATGGAATTAGTCAAAAAGCAATCTAGCTACCATATTAGTTAATTAATTATCCTTCCCTTTGTTTTGTTCATGTTTATACCCTACCCCTTATGCACCCTTATTTTAGTCATAAGTAGATACTAAATCATCAGACATTAGAGAAAAATCAAAGATTTCATTCTCTTTAGCATGAAAGGTTTATCATCAATGAAAGAAAATATAAATAGAGAGAGAGAGAGCGAGAGAGAAATCATATAGATGATTATCCAGAATCCAAACATTTCAATTTGATAATACAACAATCATGTAATAGATCACTAGTTGGCAATGAAGCTGATAAATTTTCTCCTTGGGGGATGCTACAAAAGACTGTAACTTTGTGGTACCTACCATGAGTTGATAGGAGAAAGAAAATTCATCTGCTTCATCACTTCAAGTAATCATCAACTTATTTATATTTAAACCACTAAGCAAACTGTTTGGAGTTATTAATTACTCCCTAACACACAGCAAGTGCTCCGTAGCAAACCGCTCCCCTATGTGCATGGTGTGCAAGCTGCTGAGAATTTTTTGTTACAGAGCACAAGGTTGGATATATATAGTACGTACCCTACTAATTACCTTCATTATTTGCCTTCCATAATTTCAAATCTTAAACCCGACCAACGAAAGAGAATAAGCTCTGTAAGATGAAGCCTCCTCATGAGTTTTTATCAAAACTAGCAAAAGTTTACCCCTCATTCCTATCATTCCTATCTCACACATCAGGTTACGTGTAACGAAATGTGTGAGATAGGAACAAGATTTTTGGCTATTGTTGAAAAGTTTTATAAAAAAATGCTATTTCTCGGGAAAACGGGGCAAATTACTTTGGCTAGTTTTGATAAAAACTCATTCCTCTTCCGAACCAGTTACGCATTCCTTCTCATCCTCGTGAAAACCCTCAAGAGACGGGTGTGGAGAATGTCCCTTACCAAAGGATCTAATATGGTCCTTGAGAGATCTTTTGTGTTTAAAATCAGATCCGCAAGTGCAATACCATAGCTTGCCACAGTTCTTTTCATGGGTTCTCCAATCGCCTTTAACTGCAAATGTTTTGGCACATTTTCTACACATGAATGGCTTTGCTCCGTGCTTTCTCTTGTAGTGAGTTTGGAGAGTTCTGAAGTCTTTGAGTGGCTTGGCTCTTGGGTGGTTAATGTTGTTCTTGCAGCCTTGAGCACAACAATAGCATGGTAGCCTCAGCATTGCGGCTGGTTGTGTTCCTTTTAGAGAATCTGGCCCTTTTCTATATTCAGATCCATGGCCCCACATATGCATCTGTAACCCGAATACACAGTACTTTTTTGTCTTAGAAAAAGTTGCTTATAAACTCATTAGTTGAGCTCAAATTAACTTGCATAAGAAATCTTTTATGTAAAATGCATATATATATATAAGGTTGATGTAAATCAAAATGGACTTTGCAGTTCATGGTTAGCTTGGTAGGTTCACTACTAACTTTACCCTCATTTGGTTTTGTTTTTCTATATAAAGTATTTCTGAGTCCAAAAAGAAATTTTGAATGTAAAAATTACCATAGGGAAGTGATTGACTAGTGTCTAATAATCTATAGCAAGATACGTTATAGATACTTTGGTCAATGGGTTACTGATATTATCAAATATCAACACAATGCCAAGAAAATATCAACCAAATATACTTTGGTTTTTTATGTTATCGATATTATCAATTATGAACTCAATGTCAAGAAAATATGAACCAAACTTCGTCATTCATGCTATCAATATATATCATGTATAAACTTCTAACAAGTCCAAAAGTTTTCCCCAACTTGCTCCAGCTTCTTAAAAGAACACCTTTTAGTTCGTATTTGAACATTGAGGAACTAGAAGAAGGAAAAAAATGGCAATGAGAGTTCATATGATATGGGAGTTTTATGCTTATATATTCTAAAATAATTTGATACCACAATCGAGTCCTGAGATTTTTGGATTCAATTAGCCTCTTCCTCTTGTGAACAAGGGTTAAGATATGAATGACTCAAAAATCCAGTAACCAAGCTTGAAATCACCCCAATATGTCATTAGATTAGAATAGAATATCGTTAATTAAAAAAAATCATAGGGTCAACCAACATTGCATGTTAAAATGAAAAGGGACAACATTTACCCGAGTACTGTGAACCTAAACTACGAATAACTATAGTATTTAACTACTGAAAATTTGATATTACCCCTTGAAACTATATTTTCCTCTACTAAAACCCATCTGCTTTTGTTTTCTTGAATAAAGCCCATTGACTAGCCTCCAATTAAACAAATTCTTTAATTAAGTTTGACTTTTCAAATTGTGTATTTTTTGAATGCCTAAACTACCCCTATTAATACTTGGATGAGGTTTTTGGATCAGTTACTTGTTATATCCATTTAATTAATTTTATATATTTTACAAAATAATTCATGCCATTCATTGTATATTCAATGTATTAACTTTCAAATTGTTATACCGTGCCAATTGAAAAATAATAATACTAATTTCATAATTTTGTGCATTACATATATAAGTTAATTTACCTACGAACACAACAATAAACCTAAAACAGCTTCGGCTAATATTCCAATCCCTAATACACAAAACAAAAGCTATATGTTCCGCACAATTCTTACCTACAAAATAGTCTAATTTACCTATTACATCAAACCAAAATTTAAAGGGTCTAGTTTACTTTCAAAATGTTCTAATTTACCTACATGATTTATGTGCATTAGATTAAAAGTTTATTTAATTGCCTACAAGTATAAACCCACAACATTCGAACATTATCTAATATCACTAATTTTTTTTTTTTTTTGGAATAGGTAAATTAATTTAAATGTAGGTAAATTAGTATAATATTAATAAGTAGGTAAATTAATTTAAATGTAGGTAAATTAGTATAATATTTTATAAGTAGGTAAATTAATTTAAATGTTGGTAAATTAGTATAATATTTGTATGTAGGTAATTACATGATTCAAAATGCAGGTTTATTAGTATAATATTTTATAAGTAGGTAAATTAATTTGTATGTAGGTAATTACATAATTCAAACAATATTATTTTTTCCGTACAAGATTGTCTTTCTCTTTTAAATTTGGTAAATTAATTTATATATGTTGCTAATATTTATGATACAAGAAAGGTAAAATATCCATATGGATTTAATTGCTCATCATAATTAGGATGAGTAATAACATTTATTGACCAAATTAGGATTCTATGGCATAAGTTGTAATTGTATTGTAATAGTTGGTCATATATTTGTCTACATGGTAGGCTATTTGAAATTTGGGTTTTATTTGAATGTTTAAATTTAGATGGGTTTTTATTTGGAAAATAAGAGTTTCAAGGGTCTATATCTAAAGAACCCATTTAACTATTGGTTGTTTGACTATCTTTTCCGTTTTCAATTTTCAGTTTTCAATTTCTAGTTTTCGGCTTTCATTTCGTAAGAAAAATGAAAACAAAAAATTAGTTCTGTAACTAATCATTTTAGTTTTCAATTTTCAAACTCTTTTTATGTGAGAATTGGCATAAGTAATTATGTATAGTAATATGTGAATCGAACTTAAGACCTTTTACTTATGAGTCAATAAAAATACCATTAAATTGTAGTGCTATATATAGTGACTACATGTTAAAATTATAATCAGTTTAATTTTCCCAAGAATTTCTTTTACTATTTTCCCTCATGAGCTAGATGTCCGTCCATTCATGTGTATGTTCCTTTTCCCCCTCAAAGATACTGAAAACTTTAATGATTAATAATCTCCTCAAAATCCGGTGTTTCGCTTTTGGAAAAGTCGAACTACTTAATGAAGCCAAGCAAAAAGCAAAGAATATACAATTAATTGTAATTTTTCGAGCCATGGCAAATACAATCTTGCAAAACGGAAGCAAGCATATAGGGGGGAGAGATGCATATATATTTGTATACGTGCTACTACAAGTATTTACTTCTACAATTCTCACAGAAAAGGTGTTTGAGTAATAATTTACAGTCATTGATCAACATCAGTCTAAACTTAAGTACATAGTAAACTTAGTAAATATTTATATAATGATTCACAAGTTCACCACAAACTGTGTTCTTTTTGTTCACTTCCATTTTGTATCTTGACTCAGGCTGTAGTTTGATTGTAGCTGAAAATTAGTCTTTAAGGTCCTCAATTTTGATACCCTAAAAAAATTTATTCAACAAATAGATGATGCGTAAGAATTAATACTGAATAACTAACCTGCATGTTATTGTACCTATTGAAGGTCTTGCTGCAAATGGAGCAAGCAAATTGCATCGGCCCGACAAGAATCTGAGCAGGCGTTGGTATCCAAAACCTACTTTCTGCGTTAAAAGAACACCCATGAAAGCTCTTTTTCATGACTACTTGTTCTTCCTTGAGATTCAAAACCTTCTTATTCTGATCATATGTGTCTGAGTAAACACCTGTAGTAGTGCTAGTACTATTAGGCAGTCCAATGTGCAAGGCAACTGTAACTTTCTCCATCTGCTCTTCTTTGACCCCATAACCTTCTTTCTGCACCCCAGCATCTTCTATTTTCACCGGCTTGGTGTCCGTAAACCGGCTTAAAAGAGGCAAGCATTGCATAGTGCTATTCTCAGATATGCAAAAGGAAGATGATGACGATGATGACGATGATGAAAAAGAGGAAGGTGGTTTCAGCCATTCAATAAAAGGAGGTGCTTGAAAGCACAAATTTTGGTCTTCAACATGATGGTTCAATAAACCCATCTGTAGAGAGAGAGAAAGAGAGATCTCCTTAATGAATTCTCTCCTCAGAGGATTTATCCAGATCTTTTGTGGGAAAGCTTCACTTATAGAGTTGATTTATGAAAGGAGGTTTGGTTTGTCTTTTTTGGAACTTATTTTCTCCTTTCCTTTTCTACCTTTGCCTTTGTTTGGTTAAGAAAGAGATAGAGAGAGGGGGTAGTAATGGTGGGGTTACAGATAATGACATGCAAAACTGAGACTCACCTAAAGGAAAGAGAATCCTAGAATAGTCTGAATATCTCTACTTGTTGGCTTATAATTATACACGCATTTTCTTTTATTCTTTTTCGTATTAATAATATAATGGAATATAACCTATGTGCACACATTTCTCATACTACATTGACAATTTGCAGATGACCTGAAATGGCGGAAGGAAAAAGGCGAGAGCATTTCGTCAATACCTAAAAGAAGAGGAAAATATTTCAAGAGAAGCAAAACGGACATTGAACCTGATGGGCTCGTGGGATAATGTGTGTATTATGCCTAATCTTGTTTAACTTCCATTATATACATTTCAAACCAACTTTTTCGTAATAGGTATTTCATTAATCAAATAAAACGAAAAACATTATTCATTAGGAATACAATTCTATGATTGCACACATAGTAAAAAGACAATACAAAACCTATCACATATAATCACATCTAATCAAATGGAAAGATAACGCTCACAAAACAAAACCTTGCATCACTTTATGATAAACCTGCAAAAGACAATGCTCCTTAGGAAAAGAAGCCCTGCTATGAGACATCATGAAGATGTCCTCATGGCGACAACCAAAACAAAATAAAAAACAACACAACACAAAATAAACAATTCAGAGGTACGATTCCTCAATCACGGGAGACTCACACCTAACCAACGTGAAAGATAGCTCACAAGTCCTAAGCCCTACGAGCCAGACCTAACACCATCAACACACATAATGTAAATATCGTATCATCACCTGAATACCTTGCAACCGACAAGAAAACATGCTTGTGAATCCCTCAAACCACTACAACAACAATCACGAAGAAAAGACCGCACCACCCCTTGATGATCTTGCGATTGGGCCACTGTTCTAAAAATCTCTGCCTAGCACCGCCTAGGCGCTGGGCGGCTGGCCACCACCCTGATTAGTCTTTAGGCATTTGAAAAGTAAGAAAGTTCACCTAGACCCACTTAGGTAGCCGCGTAGCCTGCCTTGGTGCTTGCCTAACCGCCTAGGTCACGACTCTTGCTTAGACAGAAAATTGCTAACTTTCATTTGCATTTTGTTTTGTAAATAAAATGTAAGGGACTTGTTGAATACTTGGATAACACTCATTATATGCTTGTTTCTCATGTTTTCAATATGTTCTAATATTTTATAATCTATATGTTATTTTCTTTTGCAGTTTATGTATCCCAATACGATTATGTGTTCTTTTAAGTACAAATAGGTACTTATTTCTACAATACATAATAAGTTTACTGAAATCCGCCTAGGCCTCTACCGTAAGGCCCTGACCCACCACCCATAGCGGTTTTTAGAACCTTGTCATCGATAAAAAAAATCTTGCTATGAGTTACCTCCAACAAACGTCGAACTTCCTCCGCATAACCCTTGCCAAGTGTGCAAACCATATCACCTTATATTTGAACAATATTTGTCGCTTTAAGATCTAGGATTAAGCAATAAGTCATAACCGCTACAAAAACTTTTCTCTTCAGAAAGAGAGAGTGACCACAACGACAACCACAAAGGCTCGCCTCGACAAGTGAGAAAGCGACCATTACAAAAAAACCAGAAAAGAAAGAGAAGAAAGGGATCAAGAAGGATTGGTGCCAACCCCAAGGCCAAAGACTGGGTTGGTGGTGACAAGTTTTTCTGAGTAAACCTTACATATTTAAATTGAATAAGCGCATTATAAACATTGATGAAAAATTCAACCCCAAAAGAATTCTTGTAAAATAAATCTAAAATAATCACAATAAAGCATGACAAATCGTAAAGCAATTATTAGACTTCAAGCATTTTATTGAAAGTCTAATTCATCGAAAATCGCAATATTACAAGGATTAAATGAGAGAGGAAAAAAAGGGTAATGCTAGAGAGACTAAATTTGTAAATAAAATTTGCAAACTAAATGATATGTCACTAATAGGAATGAGCACGTTTATTAACGCTTAAGTAATAATCCATTAATCAACTTTTATGTCATTTAATTTATAAAATTTTGTCTATAAATTTAATCTCCCTAACATTAATAGAAAAAAAGAAAAGAAAAACTAAACTAAATTTTATGACCATCGTGGTGAGGTGGCCTTAATGGAAATTGTAAGTTAATTTTCAAATTTAGCTGCGGAACAATTTGTTTACTTTGTCTTGCCGTGATGTAATCAATTTAACTTTAATTATTTAAAAAATACCCAAAATTAAACAAATATATAGGAGATATAGGGCATCAAAAAAATATACATATATATATATGTATATGTATGTATGTATATATCATACGATCACACTATAAGGGCATTGAAAAGAGTGGTTATCAATTAAAGTACTTATAAATTTGTGCTTGAGCGCGCTCCATGAACATGATCACGATGTACATGCAATGCATTATTATTTTATTGGTTTTAATTGGATATGATCACGGTGATAAATACTTGTTCGACGTAATGGGAGCGTATTACTTCACGTAGAAAAGATTTGTTTGGATATATAGCTAATTCGTGATTGTCCTTTCATTGCACTTAACATAAACGAGATTTTTTTATTTATTTAGAAAACTTAGATTTCAATCCTTATATAAGATGAAGTTTAGATTAATGCCTAATACAAGATTCAAGATTGAGTTTAGTCTCTTAGTTCTATTTAAATGCCCATGTTTATATTCTATGTCATTTTTATTTATTTATTTTTGGTAATTTCATGATATTTGTTTTCCTAAGTCTGCATGAATTCATTATAGATATATTGCGCTAGAAATAGTTTGATACACTACAACAACAACAAAGCCTTATCTTACTAAGCGACATCGACTATATGAATCTAGAACACCATTGCAGTCGATTTTCTGTCATGTCTTCTGTTAGTTCCAAGTAGTCCAAGTCTTTTCTTGGGGTCTCTTTCCAAGTCTTCCAAGGTTTTCCTCTACCTCTTTGGCCCTGAGCCTCTGTCTCATAATCACATCTTCTTACCAAACCGTCTGTAGGTCTTTGTTTCACTTGTCCAAACTACTTTAACCGATTTTCTCTCATCTTATCTTCAATTTTGGCTACTCCTAATTTATCTCAGATATTCTCGTTCCTAATCTTGTCCTTTCTCATGTGCCCACACATCCAACGAATCTTTCTCATCTCTACTACACTCATTTTGTGTTCGTGTTGATGCTTTATTGTCCAACATTTCGTGTCAAAAAGGATTGCTGGCCTAATTACCATCTTATAAAAAATTTCCTTGAGCTTTAGTGGCATATCATGGTCTTACAACACACCCGATGCACTCTTTACTTCATCCATCCAACTTGTATTCTATGATGGAGGTCTCCATCAAATTCTCCATTCTTTTGCAAGATAGATCCAAGATAGCGAAAACATCCGTTCTTTGGTACTTCTTGATCTCCAATCACCCTAACTCAATTGAACCTCTGTTTCCGTTGAACATGCACTCCATATACTATGTCTTTGTCTTTGACCTACTTAGGTGAAGAACTTTAGATTCCAACAATTCCCGCCAAAGGTTAAGCTTCATATTTACTCCCTTATGAGTTTCATCTAAAACGCTACATTATCTGTGAAAAGCATACTCCAAAGAATATGATCTTGGATATGTCTCGTCAACTCCTCCATTACGAATACAAAAAGTAATGGACTTAAAGATGAGCCTTGATGTAACCCTACAGTTATGGGAAAGCATTTGGTTTGTCTTTCATGAATTCTTACAGAGGTCCTCATTCCATCATACATATCCTTTATAGCTTGGATATATGCTACTCATACTCCTTTATTGTCTAAAATCCTCCAAAGAATATCTATTGGGACCTTATCATATGCTTTTTCAAAATCTATAAAGACCATATGCAAATCTTTTTTCATATCTCTATATCTTTCCATCGATCTTCGTAAGAGATAGATTGCTTCATGGTTGAGGGCCCCGGTATGAACTCAAATTGATTATTTGAGACCCGTGTCTCTTACCTCATTCTATACTTAATTACTCTCTCCCAGAGCTTTATTGTATGACTCATTAACTTAATACCCCTATAGTTCATGCAATTTTGCACGTCACCCTTATTCTTGTAGATAGGTACCAAAGTGCTTTTTGCCACTCGCTTGGCATCTTCTTCGTTTCCAAAATCTTATTGAAAAGGTTGGTGAGCCATGCTATACCCGTCTCTCCCAAGACATTCCACTATTGGATTGGTATATCATCTGTGCCCCCTGCTTTTCTATGCTTCATCATTTTTGCGAACAATTGCAAGATCTCTAGAGGGCGGTGTGACTTTTCCTCATCATGCCTTTACTATGGAACTATAACTTGTCAAGTTAGTACTATTGGGTGTTCTCTTTCATGTTGGTTAAGTAGTTAGAAGAACTTGTTTACGAGTTTGTAATTGCAATATTATGGTGATTCTTTTAGTTTGTGTGACTTCTTGAGACTTTCTTCCATTGATGAGGGGACACTTATCACAGGTAGCTTGTAAGATATTATAAACACGATTTTTTCTCCAACAAGTGACATAAGAACATGCGTACCAAATAATAATTTGTATTAATGAAAAATTAGGGTTAAACAAAAATTGGCCTCTGATTCGACCTCCGAATATGTGTGTGTGGTTGATCCAAGGGTCGTAGAGACTTGATCTTGAATCAGGCTTGATTTCTTCAAGGGCCGTCGAGGTTTGATCTTGAAGTAAGTGGGACCACGAGTAGTTTCACGTGGTAGGTGGTCTTCGGTTTTGGTGCTGATGAATTGGCATGTGTATTTGTTGTGCTTGTTGATTCTCCACGAGCTTGACGAAGAACGCGAGTGTTTGAGTGTTTTTTTTTTTTTTTTTTTTTTTTTTTTTTT